ATATTTATCTCTTAATATTTATTTAAAGAGATAATTAGGAGAGAGAGTCTTGAAAAAGAAGACTCCAATTTGATTGGTCCATTAATTTCTATTTATTTATCTCTTTAATAAGTATTAAAAGAAATAAATATTTGTTTTACTCTCCAAGAAAATGACATGTGGCACTCTTTAATTAGCCTTCAAAATATACACGTGGCATTCTTTAATTGGCCAACAATGTATATTAATAATCAATTAATTAACTATTTAATTTAGGAATTAAATTTTGATTAATTTCCCAAATAAAATAGAAAAATTATTAAATTGATTTTTGACATAGAATTTGACACTTGTCGCCGTTTTATTGGCTCAAAATTTAATTGTCTACACATGGATAAGCACTAAATAAAAACCCAGCACCTCTAAACAACATAATTACGGGCAGAGTCCAGACTTTAAATCGGCTTTCAAACTAGGATATAAATAATAAAGTGATAAATTATCCATATGTACATCTCGGATTCCGCTGTATTCATGCACAAAGCAACACACAACAATAATTGACATCCTACGACTATATCTAACGAAAAAAAAAAAAGAAAAGATCACAAGGTTTTTTTCTTCACAAAAGCTACATAAAAACGTTTATGGAAAAAGGTCGACTACTTCCTACTAACAAAACTTGCAAAAAACCACATCACGAAGAACAGCCCTACGTCTACATAAATACCCCAATTTACATTTGCCATCCACTAAACCAACCAACCCACCTATCCAAAGGTCGATTTTACGGGTTCCCAATGGTGGTCACGAATGGAACAAGCCTTCTATAGTCCCTCCGTCTGCCGAGCGCACAACTGTCGAGCACGCGACCCAACATCAATCGGGTGTTCTGCAAAGCCAGTTCCTTAGCTGAAGCACTGGAGTCACTCACACTACCCTGCCCAAAAGGCGCCAGACCCGGCCCAACCCCCGCTGCAAACTGCAGGGGCCCGCTCCGGGCCTTGAACGACGTCTGTGGCACAAGGAGCTTCTCATCCGCACCGCTAAACCCATTCTCGAAGAAGCCTGGCAGCGGGTGATCGTGCGGGTGGTGGGAGCTACAGCTCTGTAGGAGGGCCTCGAGGACGCTGAGCGCCTCCCAGCAGAGGGTGCTCTCAACAAGCTGGGAAACGATGGCGTACATGTGGGGGCTCTGAGCAGCGTCAACGGGAGTGTGCTGCAGCAGGGCCTTGAGAATGAGGAGCACGACCCGCTGGTACTCGGCAGGCCCCCTCTCGAGCAGCCGCAGCAGGTGCCCGAACGCAAGGGCCGAGTGCCTCGGGAACCATTCGCCGCACATCAGGGGAGAGACGCACGCAAGTAGGTTCTCGATGCCCCGGATCTCCCCCGACGCATACGCAGCGAACACGGTTGCCAGCTCGTCCATCGACCGAGCCCGGCACCACGCAGCCACAGAGGCTGCGGCGCCACGCGCCCTGACCTGTGCCGGGCCCCCCGCCAGCTGCAGGCAGAGCCACGGGAGAATCCCCGTGATGTGCATCAGCAGCCGGGTCTCAGGAGCGCCGAAGATGGAGTCGCACGAGGGGGAAGCCAAACGCGTGAGGACCTCGATCGAGGCTTCGTGGCTAACAGACGACATGAGGCCCTTGAGGACGAGGGGCTGCACACCCTCAAACTGTGGAACCCGCACACTGACGCCATCAGCGTCGGGGCCGTCACGCGGCATGCTGGAGAGAAGGACGTTCTCGGTGGTGGTGTCGCGGAAGGAGAGGCGGTCAACGACGCGGGAGAAGAGCTCGAGGACTTGACGGTAGACATGGATGAAGTCGGTGTGCATCATGGCCACACAGCCCCAGAAGAGCTGCGGGTAGAGGATAACCTTCTCGGGCTCCATGTTCTCCACCATCACCTGCAGTGTGAGCAGGATCTCCATCACGAACCCCAGGACAGAAGGGATGGGGTTTCCGAGGCAACGGTGCAGGCAGCGAAGGAGGGACACGCATGCATCGTTCGTGACGCGCGGTCGCAGCGCGCGGTATATTTGGTGGGACCTGCACGCGAGGTGTCTGGACGTGCACTCCATGGCCCACTTGAGGGCCTCAGCACCCCAGGTCTCTCTAAGGTCACCCTGGAAGAAGATGGCATCCACCATGCTCTGGACGAGAGCGGATAGGAGGGCAGCGCTTGGGAGTTCGGTTCTAACGACAGTGGGGTCCTCATTTTCCCACATCATGTTTCCCCGTTTGGATTGCACGTACTTAATCAGGCTAACAACCTGCTGCTTGTTCTCCCCCTCGCTGTTCTCGACGTCGTACAGTTCCAGGTGCCGACCGGCAAGCGAGTAAAGGAGATTGACGAGCAGGTGCTGGCAGTGCTCGAGCACGATGTCCTCCGAGCTGTCCATGGAGACAAACGTCACGTGGAAGAGCAAAGGCAGATGCTCCCGGAAATCCTCATCGTTTTCATAGGCGATCTCTGCTAGAAGAATCAATGCGATGTCGGCTTGCGTTAATGTGTGCTGCTGATGACCCTGTAATGCCGACTGGAGTTCTTTAGCATTGACACCGTGGGCCCCCACCCCAGTGTGCAATAAAATGTCCTCACCGGAATTTGGGGTGTCGATGAGGTAATCTCCGCTGTCCCGCGACATGTGGCGGCTCCGTAAGCTTCCCGTCGAGCTCCTTACACCCATTAGTGGGCCTGACATGTTGACCAATGAAGGCATGAGCTGGCCCGACCGGCCGGCACTAACGGGAACAATGTTAAGCTCCGGAGCCATAGGGGTTAACGGGCCGGAAGCACTCCGCCCGCCGACGGCGGACGTCCGCCAGCTCAAGCTTCCACTGGCATTCCTGAGTGGGCCGTCTAGGGACCCACGAACAAGCAGAGGCGACATGTGTGGAGGCTGGGTGTCCACAACAGATGCGATTTGATTTGTGGCAGGGGTTTGGGAAAATTCTAAGACGCCTCCTCCTAGAGCGTCCCCTTTGTTATTAGCGACTGTGGCTCTTAGTGGTTCAACTGTATCTTCAAGCATGCGTTGAGCCAATTGGTAAACAAGGTGGTCGATGGTTCTCTGTGGGCAAATCCGAGCTAAATACAAACTGACCCTCTTTGCAACTGAGAAGTAGGTGGCAAATGCTCCGCTTATTTCAGCCGACGCATTCGAATCGCAATCCTCAATTCCCTTTGTGATCAGAAAATCAAGGACGGGACTTATGTTCCTTGGCTTGCTAGCGATCGTACTCCATAACTTCTCGATTTCATCTGGAAATTGGTCACCATGGCGCCACGTGACATAATAAAGGCTCTTTAGCAACCTTTCGCTCCATCCCGAGTCTTTCAATTTCCAAAAGTTGAGATTTTCGATCCAAGGAGCCATGCATGTCAACACTTGATGCTGAGCAATTATGTCCACTGCATCGAGTTGCCTTTGCATGATCTCCTCACAGAGAAGCTGGCTCAATTCTGGGTGGTCTTTGGCGAGTTTGCAAGAGAGTTTGTATTGAAACTGTTGGTAAGAGTCAGGAAGGTTGCCAACGACAGCAGCTCGATAGCTTCCCGAGGTCTCGACTCCATCCTCGGCCCATTCTCGAAGGGAGAGAGTCTCAAGCATCTGAAGGGCATCATCACGGATTTGTCTTGATGGGTCCACCACTTTATAGAGGATGAGGCTCAGTAGCCTCTGGATTTCGCATTTTGGTATCTCTTGACGCATGTAAACCTCAGCCAGAACGCTGAAGTAGCCATCAGCGATTGCGGCATCTGAATAATAACACTGCACAAGTTTACGGGTTTATGACTTGTGAGGGATATTTAGAGAAACGGTGAACAGCTAGAAACAAAGAACATAGATACGGAGAAAATAAGCAAGCAAAGTACATCAAAAAAAATGTGTGCAGAAAAATAAGTATTTGATGAGAAGGGTTATGAGTTTCACCATTGTGCAGAAAAAATAAATATTCGATGAGAAGGGTTTATCAGTTTCACCATAACAGGGGCAGTGAGTTTTATGGACAATTTTTTTTTTTTTTTTTTTCCATTTCCTCGTACTAATTTTAATTTGAGAGAGAAACAAATTTATTTTATTGTGTCCAGAACACAACAACAGCATGCCCTGGTTTGTGAACATGCAAAGTGACTGTTTAGTACCAGAGGATTGGTTACCTGATCAATGCACGCAGGAAAGAGGTCCAAATTAGTGAGGAGTAGATTCTTCAGAGCCAGTTTTGCAAGAGAAACTCGATGGTGACCACCTCTATGCCTATCACGGTTCGTTGTCCCTCGCCCACCATCTCCAGCATATTTCGAGTAAGACGGGGTTCTTGGATCAGCTGGTGAAAACCCAAAAGGAGCCCTAGGCGCAGGCTCAATAAACAAGCTATTTATCCATGAGATCACCCTGCCACTCATCTTTCTCGCGTTGTCATCAAAGCAAGGCCCATATAACAGAGACGCCATTGCATTCATGGAAGCCCATTGTATTGCCTCAACCTGTTCAGCCAATTCCTTATCAAATGACAGCTTATCGATCGAGTCTTTTGACCGCGAGTGCTGACTGGACTTGTAGCGCTCAACTTCACGCCTATAATCACTAACACCGTCCTGATTCCACGTGCCACCAGTATCATCACCCCAGGAGAGAAGGAGATCGAAAAGTCTCTTTCTTGTCCTAACGTCAAATTTCTCCGACTTTGAATCAACAAATTCTGGAGCCAAAAATCTCAGAACAGAAGCAAGTGAATATCGCAGGGGTTGCATCTCTTGGAAATTCTCTGGAGGCGAAGTCAAAATCTGTCGAGTTGTTTCATCAATGAACTTCAAGTAATGAAGTCGGAAAACTGGCTTGCGGCCAAGCATCCCAGGCCATATTTTCTCAGCAACTGTGCGATATATATTTGCAATGTGGACACGGAGTTCTTCACGGCGAGATTTTTGACTCTGCATATATATATACACCAGGGATATATCAGAAAAATGAGGACTATAATAGAAAAGGGAAAAAATCTATACTGCATTTATTTTACCGGAAACAAAACTAGACAAGGTTTATCTTCCCCAGCGGTATGAAATAGCAAGTGAGGTATTTACCATTCCTGAAATTCATTAACTCATACAGCTGCATTTTGCAGAGTGGTGTGTGTGTTAAAATTGGTTACCACGCACACACCCAAAAAGAAAAAAGAACAGAAAGAAAACAAACAATGGCACTATTCCTCAACCAAAGACTATTTAGGCACCATGGATTGACTTGGATTGAGATAAATAAAACACAAGTACAAAGTATAATCCACGTCGTGGCGAGCGAGAGGAGAATAGAGGTAGAACAAAATATTGAGCACTACTAACTGATGTTTTATCATGACATTTACCTTCCACTTTGGCTTTCCCTCGGTTTCTAGAGAAACTTCATCTATAAATATGGCAAGCTCGCTGAACATTATTTCGCATATATCCAAATGCGAGTGGCCAAGTGCCATGGTGGCTGCATGCTGCAAGGGGTAGTAACGTATGTTAGTCAAAAAATAGTTCCCCTTTTTAATGTGTGGTCAGGAAGTTAGGTTCACAGATAGGATGAGGATCAAACCACTCTCTATGTGTGAGTTTCTGTATGGTGCCATTTTCAGCAGACCGAATATGATTATAACCACGTTTAGTTGTTAATGAAATCACAGATCATTAATTCAACATACTTGAAGCTTTCAACAGCAGAACCACCCTCTTTTAACAACCTAGACCTAGAATCAATTTTGTGGACACTCCCTTGATCACTCTTAGCATCAAGTTTGAATCATTTACTCTTTCAGTTAGTTCTGATATAACTCGTATATAATTCTTTGATATATTTTTCTGTTTAATCTCTCTGTGTTAAGTTGCATATATTATGTGTTTTCTAATGATACAAAAGGTTGTTAGCAACTGATGGGAAATTGGAGACACCAAATTCACAGTGCGGTTCAGGCTGATTTTTTTCTGTTGAACTCAAGTGTACCCTGGAAACAGTGTGGTTCTAAATCATCCAAACCACATAATTATGAAGTATCCTATAAACTGACAATTTTCAAATAACTAATAAAACAGGCAGATGGATTTAAAGCAATATTGAAAGATTGTTGGCAGGCAGGAACTACTTACTACTTGTGATTCAGAACCAGATTTGAGGGAAGGAAAAATCAGATGGAATAGTTCTTTTGTCGGTGCGGAACCCCCACCTTCCCGACCATTCAGCGAACATGAGCATGCAAACATTGCATACATGAGCCACTGATCTAGCTTATTGTCTATGTCCTGCGACTGATGAGCCTTTCCACCCAATTCGGCCGGAGTAATATGAGCAAGGCGTTGAATAACCTCTAACCTGGAATGAAATTATAGACTTAGCCCTCCTTATGTTTTGAATAGGTAACTTTTTAATAAACACTAAATTACAAATGGAATCTTTTGACTGAAGCATGGTGACATTTATCTCTGAAAGAAGGGATGAAAATTCTGCGAGTCGGCGTCGATTTCAGATTGAAATGTAATAAAGTTAATGTGAAACAGAGAGAAAAAAAATAATGATTTGGCTACAACTGGTAGATGGAAATATGTGATGCGAAAAATAGTAGAAATTATGTAAAATTTTGGTTTGGAATCATTTTCTTGAGTAAGGGTTAGAGAATAACGGAACAAAAATTGAAATGAAAATGTAATCAAGCACACCCTGAGGATCTGAGTGGCTAATGATTCCATTTACTGATGATATAGAGAAAATTTGTTGTGATAATTTCTCTACGAGACTCAACTACAGTGAGTTGGTTCACTTTCATGATACAACTAACCACTCCCTAAAGCCAGCTCATCAGAAACTCATACAAAGTCTTAAAAGGCATTATTTCATATTATAGTAAATCATGCAGACACTTACTTTGCTTCCTGAACAGAACTAGGACATAGTTCAGCAGCATATTTGACAATCTCACTTACGCATCGGGCCCATCTGTTCTTATCAGGGCTCTCAAATAGTATAGACTGAAGAGTCACATCAGAAGGAACAACATCAGACTCTCGGTTCAGATCGAAAGGACGACCAAAGTCAAAATAACAGCTTTGCACAATATCATCCTGCACAAGCAGTGCTCTATAAATTAGACCCTCGGCGCACACCCATAAGCCAGAGCAAGAAAATAAAAGGTAATAATTAAAATTAGATTGAAAAAAATCTAACAAGACAATTAAATGAAGCCAGATTATTGTGTCACCCACCCCATTTTCTTCTAGAACGTCAATAATGAATATTGGCTCGGGTTCAGTTCTCGCGACATGGTCCGGCCTCTCTTGCATCGAGAGTTCGCGTATATCATGCCATAAAGCACGCACACAACGCAGTAGCTCCAGAGCGGTATGCCTAATCTGACTGTCGACAGAGCTAAGGAATATAAGCCCAACTGCATCTATCTCTGAAGCACGGAACTCAATTGCCTCCTGAGGCTGCTTGAAAGATGACCTCTTCAGCCCCTCGTTCCTCTGCAGGCGCTTGGAGTCAGGAGTCTCATGCTGCTCCATCATGTCCTCCGCGAGACACGCTCTCCAGAAACGCATGAGCTCAAGAAGGCGACCCAAAGACGTCTGAATCAGAAGAGGGAACTCGTCTGGAAGACGAAGGATGAAATTCGACATCCCTCTCATGACTGCAAAACGGCGATGGGGAAGGTATCTTACAATCCGGTTCAGAACCTGAACGGCTTCCTCACGAACTCCCGGGTCGATGCTGATACCGTGCTGTGGAATTATTTCCGTGATTTTGTCACTCCGGCCAACTTCTTCAATCAAGTAGGGTATGCACTTAAGGACTGAGCGGAAAAGGTACCACTGAGACTTTTCTTTCGTGACAGCATCTGCAGGATTTTAGTTTTCACAAATTTCATTCAAATGACTACAGCACGTAACGTTGGGTCAGAATTGATGGTTCATATACTTCACAAGCCAAAAATTAGAACACTAACGGGGGCGATTGTATATGAATTCAACAGTAAAAAAACCCATCAAAACTCAAATTTAGCTCAACTGTAACCCAACTCCACTATCCTCAATATTATCAATATAATTAAATAATATCAACCAATCATTTTTAGTTTCTTACAGATCACATCAACTTTAATTCACTATTCACTCACTCACATAATTCTAACTAACTATCACTTCCAATCATTTTTCTCATACTTTACATCAAATCAACATTAATTATTTTATTTAAATATTATTTTAATATATCCACTAACAACTAACCATACCACCTTTATTACAAAATTAACTATAGGTAAAAAATAAATCAAATAAAAACTAGTCCAATCCATAAACAATCACTCCCTAATTCTACACTAGAAACTCGGATAATATATATATATATATGATGTATATATATTGCCACCAAAAGTCGAGGCTGTAAAATTTGTTTGGAGGTCATCAATGCAAATACGCTACTCCAGGAGAGAATAAATGAACTCAACAAACGACATATAAGCTGTCATCCCGGGGGTGGGGTAACTAGGAGCAGTACCAAGAAAATAAAGCAAAACTAATCCAATGAACTTAACAGATGAATAATGTAGTCTAAACCTCAAAGGGAGAGGGTGCCCAATCCACACTTATACACAATAACAGCCGTATAACTAATCACGTGGTATAAACATAACTTTTAATACTCGCCTTCACATGCAGCATGCCAAACCAAACGGGTCGGGTACAAACCCATCATCACCTTCAAATAAACAAACCAGAGTGCTCTAATACCATGATAAATGGGTCTGGTTAGAACTCATCCCCAAAAGCTAGCTCAAAGGGAGAGGGTGCCCAACCCACACGTATACACAACAACAACCCAGTAACTAATCGATGTAGGACAAACATAACTTCCAACAAATAAGACAATGTATCCCAGTACTTTAGGAATGACAATATTGTTACTAATAAATGTCCTCCAAATAAATTTAAATAGGCTTAAGGAATGACACAGGAGATAACATCTCCAATTGCAGCCTATCTATCCTCTATGATACTGTAGGTCATCTTGGATGATGATATTTATTTCTACACATACAAAATTTCAATGAAGAAAATTCTGTATATACATGCAAACAGTGGTACTTTAAATGTGAAGATAATATTCCTTCTTCGAATCAAGAAACTTCATGAGCTGAAAAAAAAAAGGTACCTATTGTAGTCCTTGAAGAAGTAAGCAGAGCCTGACTATAAGTTTTATGACAAGATCTCAGAATGGATTCAATTGCAGCCTTCACTTTAGGAATGTAGTGACCAATATTATGAACTGCCCAACCCCGAGAAAAAAAAAATGTAAAACATTTATTTGAACAACTAAAACCAAATGATAGCAATAGTTGAGAGATAAAACAAGTAAATAACCACCATGAAGAATTTCCAAGCCAACGTGTTGGCTAGTAGGAGACACAACAATGGCAAGCAAAGCGCGGAGACCAATAACCTTCGCTTCAGGACTATCTTGCTTCAGCAATTCAAGTATCGTATGGTTCATGGCAAAATCAAGGTTATGGTCTGCAATAGTCACACAAAATTCCACAAGTTTGTCGTGTTGGACATCCTGAGTGAGCATTCCTTTTCTCAGGATTGTTACAAGTTGAGAGGTAACACTGTCTAAGTAATCCCATACACGATTTGGAGGTTGTGTATCACCATGAACGCCCAAGTAAAACCTTAAGACACGATGTAGACAATCTAAGGCCATGAAGCGGTGATTCTTATCCTGAAGTATAAATAGAGTTAAATACTAATGGAAAACTTGAAGACCGTAAAAAGGAGTTAAATTATAATTGTAAAACTGACCCTCAGATGTTTATATAATTGTTCCATATGAGAGCCAAAGTTACTGAGGAATATATTAGGATCACCAAGACACAGCAGGAGTGTCACCAAAGGGTAACCAACCTAGAAAGAAAAAAAA